TGAGCTGTGAAGCTACGGCACTCTACCCAGGGGGACAGCTTGAGGCTCTGTCTCAAAAAAAAAAAAAAGAAAAGAAACAGTCTTGCTGTGATACCCAGGCTGGAGTATAGTGGCAGGATCATGGCTCACTACAGCCTCAAACTCATGGCCTCAAGTGATCCTCATCCCTTGGCCTCCCAAAGTGCTGGGATTATAGGCATAAGCCACCATATTCACCTAAGATTCTTAATATCATCATTAACAGCTACTTGTTAGTATTCTATTGCTGCTGTAACAGATTACTACAAATTTAGAGGCTTAAAACAAATTTAAGATGTCAGAAGTCTAAAATAGTTCAGCAGAACTGTGTTCCGTCTGGAGGTTTTAAGGGAGAATCTGCTTCTATAGGCTGCCTACATTTTTTGGCTTGCAACCTCTTCCTTCATCTTTGAAACCAGCAATATAGCATCTTCTCTCCTTTCTGACCTCCTGCCTCCCTCTTAGAAGGACACTTATGATAATTGGACTCGCCTGGATAAACCAAGATACTCTTCCATCTCAAGATCTTTAATCACAACTACAAAGGCCTTTTTGAATGTAACATAACAAATTCACAGGTTCCAGGGATTAGGATGTGGGCATCTTTGGAGGCTGTAATTCTGTCTTCCAGTTACCATTTATGAAATGTGTTCTATGTGATAAGCATAATACCAGAAGCATATCATGCTATTTCATTATGCCTTAGGTTGTTTTGCTGATGAGAAAACAGAGGCTCAGAGTTCAGAAGACCTTTCTCCTAAACTCCAGGCCAACCTGCTCAACTGTGTACTTGACACCTCTGTGTGGATAAGCCTCTCAAAGTTAACATGTCCCAAAGTAAGCTCTTGGGTTTTCTCCATATAACCTACTTTACCAGCAGAATCCCCATCTCAGTAAGGGCACCATCATTCCAGCTGCTCAGGTCATTAAAATCACTGTTGACTTTCCTTTTTCTCTCACATCTTACATCTGTTCTGTCACAAAATCTTGTTGTCTCTCCCTTCAAAAGATACCCAGAATGTGACCATACCTTACCATTTACATGGCTACCACTCAGATCCAAGCCCTCATTATCTGTCCCTCGGATTATTACAGCATCCTTCTAACCAGTCTTCCTATTTCTGCCCTTGTCTCCAATTAGTATATTTCCAACAGCCACAGTGACCTTTTAAAAAACCTAAGTGAGAGCACATTATTCCTCTCCTCAAAACATAGTACTTTTCTTTCATGTTCAAAAGAAAGGCCAAAGCTCTGTCTCTAACCTTCACAGCCCTACAAGATGGGACTTCATCCCCTATTATTTTCCCCCTTATTCATTTCATTCCAGCTAAACTGACATTCTTGGTGTCCTTTGAATGGTCTATATATGCTTTGCGCCTCAGGGCTTCACATTTGCTATTTTTTTCTGTGTGGAATATCAGGCTCCAGATATTGGCATAACAAGCTTCTTTACCTCCTTTGGGTCTTTAGGAGATATCATTCTGTAGAGAAGCCTTTCCTAGCTACCCCACCTAAAATATTAACCCTCCACCCATCCCTAGTATTTTGTGTTTCCCCTTTTTGCTTTATGTTTTCTCCTTAGCACTTATCTCTACCTAACCTTTCATGTATATTGCTCATGTAACAGATAGGCAAATGTGTGCCCATAAAGTGACCCCTTACTGAGTCTGGCCTCTTGGTACGCATACCTTCCTCCTTGAGTAGGGAAAACCTATATAGCAAATAGAAAATACAGTATCTGAGTTGAATCTAAGTCAGAGAAGACATTGTGGCTTTCACCTTGCTCTCTTTCTAGAGCAGTGGTTCTCAACCTTCCTAATGCTGCAGCCCGTTAATACAGTTCCCGTGGGTCATGACTCACAGATTGAGAACCACTGTTCTAGAGGCTTTCTAGAGGAAACCATCTTTCTTACTGTGATGAAACTCAAGAAGCTCTGTGGAGAAATGAACAGTCATCACCACCTAGTTGTCTTGGAAGTAGACCCTGCAGCCCCAGTCAGACCTTCAGATGATTATAGCCCTACTCAGTATCTTGACTGAAATCTCATGAGAAACCCTGCGTTAGAACCCAATGAAGATGCTCTCCAATTTCTGATCCATAGAAACTAGGAAAGAAAAAACACAGCCAATTTAACCATGTCTCATGATAAATGTGAGAGGCATCCCAATTTCAAAGATATGGAGAAAAATGTGCTTTTTTTAATTGAAAAAATATGACAATGATGATTTGTTATTATTATTGTTTTCCCCATATAATCCTCAAGAGGGCAGAAATTTTTGTTGGTTCAGTTCACTGTTATAGATGTAATGCCTAAGACAACATCAGCTTATGAGAGAAAATAGTTGCTGGATGAATAAATAAAAATTAACATGCACAAGGCAAATTGTTTATATGTGGAAGAGCTGGGATTCAAAGCTAGGTCTTTGACTCTAAAGCTTATGCTCTTTTTGTGGCCCATTCTTCAGAATATAGTCTAATAGCAAGATACGCATCTCATTTTTACTCAATCTTCCTTTTTTGCTATGATGATGATATTTGGAAATAATAATCGATAGCTAATAAGAATGGTATTAATTACATCATCTAGGACTGTCCAAAGCACATTGTATGTATTAACCTACCAATATTCACCACACATTATTCACTATTCACTATTATTATTATGGCAGGTACTATTATTATCCCCATTTACGAGGAAACTAAGGCACAGGGAAGAAAGTTAAGTGGCTGATTCAAAGTCTTATAACTCACTATACCTGTTTGGGGTAAATAGTTGTATATGTTCTTTCTTTCAACCTTATCTCAACTAAAAGTCTCTTTAAATGGCTTATGAATAAGTATTTAGTAATTCCAAGGTCTCTTAATATTATCTAATGTTGTAATGCTCACATTCCCTATGGAAAAAAAACCCAACAACTTCCATTTGTAGTCTGTATCTTAATACACTGTACTTGGGAATGAAAACTTCAGTCATTTCCATACTTAAAACTTGAAAACTTCAAGAATCACAAGAATGGAGAAGCATGAATCCTATGTACTCAATTTTGATATGAGAACAATTAATGACAAGGGGAGGGGGTAAGCAGAGAGAGGAAGAAGGAGGGAGGAGTGGGGAAGGAATTAGCAGAGAAAGGGAAGGAGGGAGAGGGTGGGGTCTTGGTGTGTGCCATACCTTTTGGGGGCAAGACACGATTGTAAGAGGGACTTTACCTAACAAATGCAATCAGTGAAAACTGATTTCTTGTACCCTCAATGAATCCCCAACAATAAATTAAAAGAAAAAAACTTGAAAACTTATCTTGAAAATTCTGGTTATAAACCTTACTTAGATCAAAATTTCTAAACTGGATCTGAACATAAGGTACTGTATGTGAACACCAGTGTCCATGAATAGTCACTTGCACTGTAATAAAATCCTAAATTTGATTAGCACTTTTCATATACTTTCATTTAGAAGGATCTCACATTTAATCTTTATAACATCTGAGAAGACCTCAGGAAAAATATTCTCTTCATTTTATGGATCAGATAATTGAGAATCAAAAAAGTTAAAGACTCCTCTTAAGGTTTCATAGGTAGTAAGTTGTCAAGCCAGGATTTTTCTAAATCCAGTTCCTCATATTGACCTTGACAATTGTTGCAAGGTTTATACTGACCTGAAACTATTAAATCCAGTGCAGCAGGAACTCCAATGAGTCTGGGGAGAAGCTGTGTTCCTCTTGCCCCAGGAAGAATTCCTAGTGTGACTTCTGGGAAAGCCAAATAAGCCTATAAAGATTGAAGGCATGAAGGCCATTAGAATAAGATGATATGCTCAGAGTTAAGGCAAGCTCTTCCCTGGATTTCCTACACTCCAAGACATTTTTTCATTGAATTAAGATTTCTACAGGGCAAATTACTACACACCTTCTATCATAAGGCAAAATTAACACATTTCCAGATAAATAAAAACTGAGTTTGTTGCTAGCAGATCTTTCAGCAGAAATTCTTCAGGCTGAAATGAAAGAACACTAAATAAAAACTTGAATTTACATGAAGAAATAAAGAAATAAAGGAAATAAAGTGTAACTACATAGGTAAATGTAAAAGACAATCCCAATGTATTTTTGTTTGTATATCCTCTTTTTCTTATCTGATTTAAAAGACCACTAGATATGATATATCTATGTTAATAGGAACAAAATACATAAATACAATTTCTGACAATAATAGCATAAAGGTATTATTTGGTATAATTGGTAACAAATTTATGGGGAGCAAAGTTTTTGTGTACCATAGAAATATATTTGGTATTAATCTAAGCTAGATTATTATAAATGAAGATATAATGGCAGTCATGGGGGGAATAGGGATGGTTATTGGGTGCAAAATATAGTTAGAAACAATAAACAATATCTACTACTTGATTCCACCATAGAGTGACCATAGTCAACAAGAAGTTATTGTACCCTTTAGAATAACTAAGAGTGGAACTGGAATGTTCCAAATATAAATAAAAAATGCTTAAGGTGATGAATACCACAATTATCCTGATTTGATTATTACACATTACATCCCTATTTCAAAACATCACATGTACTCCATAAATATAATGTATACAACTATTTTACCCATAATAATTAAAATTTTGAAAAAAATGTTAATTGTAGGCTGAGCATAGTGGCTTATGTCTGTAATTCCAGCACTCTGAGAGTCTGAGGCAGGTGGATTGCTTCAGTTCAATAGTTCAAGACCACCCTGAACAAAAGTGAGACCCTGTCTCTACTCAAATTAGAAAAACTAGCCGGGCATTGTGGTGGGTACCTGTAGTCCCAGCTACTTGGGAGGCTGAGGCAAGAGAATTAATTGCTCAAGCCCAAAGACTTTGAGGTAGCTGTGAGCTATGATGCCATAGCACTCTACCCAGGCAGAGTTAAGACTGCCTCAAAAAAAAAAAAAAAAAGAAAGAAAGAAAAAGAGGTGTTGATTGTAATCACCACTAAAAAATAACTCAAAAATATAAAATGAAAGAAACAAGAGAATTAAAAGGGTACATTAGAAAATATCTATTTAACACAAATTAAAATAGTAATGGAAGAACTAAGGAACAAAAAATAGATATAAGGAATAAAAAAATAGCAAAATGGTAGATATTCTTCATTATCAATAATTACATGAAATGTAAATATATTAAACTTTCAACTAAAAAGCATAGGTTGGCAGAATAAACAACACTTAATAATGGGTTAAATGTTATAGTATAAAAACAGAGTATGAGCTAAATGCAATAACATTCCAAATGTAGTTCTTTCAAAAGGAAGCTTTCTGGCTGAGCACAATGGCTTATGCCTGTAATCCCAGTACTTTGGGAGACTGAGGTACGAGGATCACTTGAAGCCAGGAATTCAAGCCTGGGCAACAATGAGAGATTCCCACTAAAAGAAATTTTAAAAATTAGCCAGGCATGGTGGTATGTACTTGAAGTCCTAGGTAGGTGGGAGGCTGAGATGGGAGGATCACTTGAGCCTAGGAGTTCCAGGCTCTAGTGCACTACAATCATACCATTATCCTTCAGCCAAGGAAATAAAACTATCTCTAAATAATGTTTTCAAAGGAAAAGAAACCATTAGAAAAAAACTATATAGAAACATAGAGAAAAGACCAGAGGAAAAAATGTATAATAAAATGAATAGACTCTTCTTAGTAACGATTCCTGAATTGTGAGTTTAGGGTGATTTTAGTTTCTATCTTTATACTTTTCTATATTTTCTAGTCCAGAACAATGATAAAAATTTTTATCATTAGAAAAATACATTACTTAAAAAAAGTTACATACTAGTATTAAGATCTCATTCTACAAGCCAAATAACAAAACTTAAACCCATTTCCAGGAATAAATGCATTTTATTAACTCCAGTGGACAGTGGTCCAGGTGCTCTTTGCAATTTCACTAATCTGCCACTGCAAATAATTAACATATCCCTGTGCCCTTCTAGCCTGGAGCACTGCCCAAGGCTGGTGGCGTTCCACTCAGCCAGATGCTAGGTTGCCGTTGCCAGGGCAGATCCTATGTAACTGAGCAAGGTCCCCATGGTGGAAATTAAATAACCCAGTGAAGGGCAGATGAAACCCTGTGTGAGGAATTCACTACTTGTATGGTAATCAAATACCTGAGGGTCACAGGTTCATGTAAAACAACCACCACCCCATCAAAGTAGAATCCCACATGCCAACAAAACCAATCTTGGAAGTTTATGTGGAAGTGATGGATTTATTTAAATTGTGTAATTGCTTTCAAATGCTTTATTGTTAACAAATATGACAGACAGATATATACAGTGGGCAAATAAATGTAGGCTGTTTTTCCCGGCAGCAATGCTAATGCTCCAAACTTAAAAGGACAGAAAATAAAATTTCTATAACTTGTGGGGGAGAGGAGGTGAGAGAGAAAGAAATGCATTTATTAGTTTTGTGATGCTTGTCAATAGAAATTTCTCTTCTTATGTACTAATAATTATAGAAGGGCACAGAAGTGACATCTTTGAGATAGAAGATGAGTATTTTTTTTTTTTTTGGAGACAGGAGCCTCCAGCTATCCCCCTGAGTAGAGTGCCATGGCATCACAGCTCATAGCAACCTCCACCTCCTGGGCTCAAGTGAGTCTCCTGCCTCAGCCTCCCAAGTAGCTGGGATCACAGGCGCCCGCCACAACGCTTGGCTATTGTTTGGTTGCAGCCATCATTGTTGTTTGGTGGGCCTGGGCTGGATTTGAACTCGCCACCTTAGGTGCATGTGGCTGGTGCCTTAACCACTTGAGCCACAGGCGCCGAGCCAAGATGAGTATTTTTAATGCATACTTAGGGGTGACAGTCAAAATATTTAATATCTCATAATAGCATCAGTGAAACCTAATAGGAACAGAGGTCTGGGGGCCCTCTATTGTCTCAGGAGGTCTTTAGTTCCTGGATCAGAGGAAGCTCTAGGGCTAAGGTTAAGGGAAGCAAAGAACCAGAAGGCTCAGAGCAGCAATTACCTACCATCCACAAGTACAGTTTCTCGACATTTGAACAATCAATAGCACTGTACTGACACATAACTGCTGAACATCAGTGCTGGAACATCCTAGAGTTGTTAACCAGTAAGCCAAGCATTTAAAATTATCCCTTTCAATGCTGTGACTACATTTAGAGTTTGCCCTAAGTAAGAGCTTCACACACCAACCCATGTATGGAGCCTCTGCTATTACCTCTGCATGGGCAATCCTGTAGTGGCAGCCCAGAGCCAGCTCTAGACCCCCTCCTAAAGCCAGGCCTTGGATAGCTGCTACCACGGGTTTCTCATTTCTCTGCATATCATCTACTATAGGTCCCAGCGCGATACCAAAGGTCCTAGGAGTCTGGAAGCTACGGATATCAGCACCTAAGGACACACAGACAGGGAGAAATACTTGGACTTTGTTATATAACAGCAAGGTACCTGATAACGCTTAAGAAGTCTGAGACGCACTTGGACCCTTAAACTTTATCCCTTGACTAGAGACAGAATAAAGGAAGAGTAGGTTGGAAAATGTAGGATGATATGAGAGAAGAATTCTTTATCTTCTAAAGTCTGATTTTCCATATAACGAGCAACTCTATCTTTAAAAAAGTAAAAGATCTCAGAAAAGGGAAATATAGATTCTCCTCCAACAACCATTATTATGAAATTGAGTCAGCCTCTCATTTTTTCTGCAACACTGTTAATCAACCCTAATCACAGAAATTTAGCCCCATATCTGTGTGAAAGGCATGAGTCATTACAACATAAAATATCAGGATAACTTGCATACATATTTGTGAGTTAGTTACACATTAATCATCTGGCTTAGAACTGTGTTATTGCAATAGGTTTTTATCTTTAATTAAAAGTAACATTTATTGCTTTTTTGATGATAAAAAATGAATTATGAAAAATTTGAAAGCTACACAGAGATAAAAATTTAATATTTGGGGGAATTCTTAGTTTTTCCCCCCATGCATACATAAATGGATTTGTGAGCTTGAGTAAGATATTAACTTTTTTGTCTCGATAACTACCTTAAGACTTATGAGAGAATTAAACGAAGGCTGTGTTTCCCTACAGCAAATACGTATTTAATATTTAGAGACTACTGTAAGATTTTTTTAACATTTCCCTACTTTTACATAACATTTTGCATAGTAAGTTTTTTCCGTTAGCACTATCTATTCTTTGAAAACTTGAAGCTTAGTACAAGTTTTTAAAATTTTAAGTAATCATTTCATATTTCATTTTCAGCCTATTCATCTTTTTCTTTTTTGCTATGTGATCCTCATCGAGCACCAATCCAGGGTTTATTCTTTTTTCTCTCCAATCTACCATATTTCACTCTTTAGTCCAGGGTTTTGTTTTGGTTTTTAGATTTCTTTTGATTCTAGCGAAACAAGGTCAATTTTCATCTGAAACTTACCATGCTTGTAGCTCTTGATTAAAGTGGTTTTTCATGTAATAATAGAAATTAACATTTATTGAATAAATACATCAGGCACTCTGTTAAGTAGTTTCATATATTTTCTCATCTAATTTTCCTAACACCTAAGTAGTATAACAATCCCCATTTTATAGGTAAGGAAGTTAAGGCTTTGAGATGTTAAGTGACTAGTTTCAGACATATGACCAGTAACTGGTAGAGCAGGGATTTGAACTTAGGCATTTTGACTACAAAAGGCCCATGTTCTTAAAAGCTATGTTATATTCTACTTTAGAGTAAAAGGTTGATGGTATTATTATCCCAATTTTATATAAACCAAGGCATAGACAAGAACATAGTGATTTCACTTTTTAATTAATTCCAGCATATAGAAATCCAATTAGTTTGTGGGTATTGATTTTAACCAGCAAAAACTGCTAAATTCTAACCGGGCTCAGCGACTCACACCTGTAGTCCTAACACTCTGGGAGGCCAAGGCAGGTGGAGTGCCTGAGCTCACAAGTTCAAGACCAGCTTTAGCAAGAGCGAGACCATGTCTCTAAAAAAATAACCGGGTGTTGTGGCAGGTGCCTGTAGTCCCAGCTACTTGGGAGGCTGAGGCAAGAGAATCCCTTGAGCCTAAGAGTTGGAGGTTGCT